CTGCAAACCTCTTAAATACACCCTGTCAGTTTATTAGACTAAATAAAGAAGAGTCGAACCATACATGTCCCACACTTTTCAGGTTTGACAGCTGCATAATAACCGAACAATTTAGGAAATCTGAGAATACTTTGGCCTCCACTACGAAATTCAAAAATGTTAAAATAGTCTCGGACAAAACCCCCAACCAACGACAAGTAGTTAAAAATACCGTAGATACGAACACGATTATACCACAAAACATGAACAGCATCGGTGCCGAAGTATCGAAGGACACTGAAGCACAAAGTGACACTTGCATTGTACTAGGTGAACAAACGACACGCGAAGGTGAAGGGAAACCCAAAAGGGGCAGTAAGACTGGAATGGGTCTCGAAGTTCGTGAGAACACTCCTAGGAAATCTACTGACCCCGCACACGAGATAGACATAGATGCTTCCGCTACAGATAACCTGCAAATATCGGCAGATAACACTACATCCAGGGCCAAGCAAGATAATCTCACTGTAAAAGCTGAAAAGAAGTCCCCTAAAACCAAGGTCTCTCCTTAGGCGTCCAAATATCTCCCTTGTGACAAGCCCAACAACCAGCATGTAAGCCTAAAAAGGAACCATGCACGCATTACGGCAGGTCCCATAAAGGAGACGGAACACGTGAGAGGAAGTGTTCTTCGTCGAACTAAGAGTAGTAGACAAACTGTGGATGACAGACTACACGAGGTGAAAGCTAACAGCAAAAATAGCTCTATCCACACAAAGTCACACTCTAGCAGACACGCAAGAGGAGTCGAGCTGATTAAACAGTAAAGTGAGACTCACAGTTTCCGTAATAGCCTAGGGTGTAATATGTCCATAGGCTCATATAACCTGAGAACGGAACCCAGAATAAAAAATCAAAATACAAGACACCAACCCCATTTATAGACCGCAAAACGCGACTAAAACTAAAGAAATTGAAAAGGAAATACCATGTATTTAAGGAATTTAATGCGTTAAACCAAATACATGAAACTCTTAAACGGCTTGAAGATAAACACAAAATGATGTCACAACTTGAAGAAAATAAAGCGCTTGTGGGTAACTCCAAAACTCAGGAACTTTGTAGGATATTGCAGAGACGTCTAAAAAGCAGTAAAGACAATACTGTAAGCAGCTTGGAGCATAAGGGTATAATATACAATGATCCCCAGGTTATAAGTGAACTCCTCAATGAGTGGTTTTGCAATGACGCCAGAGTGCACCCGACTCCAAATTTTCAAATGACCTGCAAAAGCAACCACAAATTAGGCGGAATAGACTTTAATATACAAAATATAGACTCAGCGATTAAGACTTTGAAGTCTAATGGTAGTACTGGAACAGATGACATACCATCTGTCATGTACAAAAATGGTAGCACGGAAATGGTAGTCTTGTTACTTAGAATATTTACTCTCTCGTTGGAAACTGGAACTTATCCTGAAGTGTGGAAAACCACATACATATTACCTAAGCACAAAGCAGGGGCCAAAAACAGCGTATGCAACTATCGACCTATCAATATAACACCGGTAATATCCCGAATAATGGAGAAAGTGGTTAAAGACCATGTGTCAGACAACTTACTAGAACATGAACTTATCAATCCATCACAACACGGATTTCTTAAAAAAAGATCATGTGTGACCTGTCACATAGACTTTTTCAACGAAGTTACACGAAGTAGGGACAACAGAGAACTAGTAATTGTACTATATTTCGATATAACAAAAGCCTTCGACAGAGTTCCCCATAATCTGCTAGTCAGCAGGTTATGCTCACTAGGGATATGTGATCCTCTCCTGAGCTGGATAAAACCATTTCTCTGTGGCCGAAGTCAGACAACGAAAGTTGGCTCGATAATCTCAAGGCCTAAACCAGTAAGTAGTGGTATAATCCAGGGAAGTGTATTAGGCCCACTCTTATTCATAATATATATAAACAGTATCTGTGAATGCTTTAGTGTAGGTAAACCAATACTATATGCAGATGACGTATAAATGCAAGAATACAGATCTTGGAATAACAGTAAACGCCATACAGCAAGAATTAGAAAAAATGGATAGATGGTGTGACACCTGGCAACTCCAATTTAATGTCGAAAAATGTGGCTGGCTCTGCATAGGTTGCAACAATTTAGAACTTGACCTGACAATTCAAGGCCATGCACTTCAACGACTGGAATCTGTAGTGAACCTAGGGCTGAAATATTCACATAACTTATCATTTTCTGAACATATCTCCAAACAAGTGTCAAAGTCACGCAGACTTATCGGCTTTCTACTCAGGAACTTCTACAGAAATGAGTCTAGAATTCTGTTGTACAAGGTTTGTGTGCGTCCTTTATTTGATTACTGTTCATTCATGTATAGTAGCATACGCATAGAGGACAAATTGAAAGTCGAGGGAGTGCAGAGGTACTTCACGTTAAAATTACTCGGAACTGAAGATGGTACGAACTACTCCACTAGATGTGATACCCTAGGACTAGAAACACTATGGCTAAGACGCCTGAGACTAAACTTGACACTTTACTATAAGCTTCTAAACCACTTAGTTTTTGCCTCTACTAATGGCACTCGACTTTCAGATGACAATGGCTACAAGCTAAGACACACTAAGGGTACAGTAGCTATCGAACAATGTAAAACAGCCACCAGGCAAAAGTTTTACTTGATTAGGTATGCACAGATATGGAATAAACTGCCAATGGAAACGCGTCAAGCAAGTACATTGGCCTCCTTCTAAAAGGTGCTCAATGACAAACTACAAGAGTTTGCAAACGATAGTAGTTCTAGTTCCTATCTGAGAGCCTCCGAAATTATAGGTCCATTTAATGTATAAGCTTAAATACTACACCTGTTGTTTTTTGCCTATATTTATAATTCTAGAAAAAACATTAACGGTTAACATACGTATCCTCAAACAGACAAGAAATCTCGTTTGTAAAACTACTACCCAACACAATGAGTGGGATAAAATGGACATAAACCGACAACATGAAAAAGGTATAACTCACCACAACATCACAAGGACAGATGAACACTCGTTGGGCACCATATATCCCTCACCAACTGCAACCCACCTTTCCTTAGATAATGTGATGAAATTATATCCATAATGTTGCTGAGCAGTTAATATTCTCAACTCCTGTCGGAATAGCTGAAATTCATAAACCTTCCTCACGCTAAGAAAATACCCACAAGCAGTAGAAATCCATTAATTAATGAGTCCGAAGCTTATGTACTTACTCCCAACAATGACATTGAAGATCAAATGAGATAAACACATCACTGATTTCAAAATAACACATCAATGAACTATTATTCGAGGACTCTGCACACAACAAAGTTATGCATGAATATTTACTTCAAGCTTTATTTTTTTCCCAGGCACTTATAATCCATCCACCAAAGACCTGGTTTCTTTGTTAATGCGAAGACAATACTTCTGTATTTCCTGATGTGTTGCACTCACTGACAATCTAGCAGATTTTTCCAACTGTGCACGGAAATGATTGTATATAAGTGAAAAGGCTGTTTTATACTACTGGGATTAACATTTATCAAGTGTATGTATAATCTCCAGCGAACATGTAAAGCATATCTTGCTACTGCCTGTAAATTGTGATTGAATTATATGGTTCTATTTCTGTAACAATTTGACGATGCCTGTAAACTGGCGTCCCTCATCTACTGTACTATGAAAATAAATTTATTTATTTACTAGACGGGACACCACTAGGTACCATATGTACGGAAATGCATACTCGAACCCTCGTAGTAGTTACGCAAAGCCCCATCGGCATGACGAGTATAGATTGGCTCACAGTCCTTCTATGTACATGCACGAAATGAGTCCACAAATGTACAACTGCGAAAGACTTGGCACGCACTACCCTCAAAACAACCTAGAAACAGGTTATTTCGGCCCTGTAAATAACAATCTGAATAGTGAAACAGATTATCTAGTGTCAAGGAATGATTCCAGATACCCACTTAATGAGGCCAGAAACCAATATATGCAACAGGATTATTTTCGGTTGCAGCAAACAAAAGCCCCTCTTGCACCACAATTTATTCAGGGAATAGTAGACACACTGACAACGTCTCATCTGACAATCCCTCCGAACATAACATAGGCAACCAGGAGTTAGGGATAGTAACAAGAAAACCCACTAATAACCCCCCCAACAAAACTGGTTTTCTGAAAATTATGCTCTTAAATGCCCGATCTCTCCTTAACAAAATAACTTCCCTTCGTAGCTCGGTATACATGGAACGGCCAACACTGATCCTGGTAACTGAAACTTGGCTAACTAATGATATACCTGACACAAAGCTGATAATTGATAACTATGACATCCACAGGAATGATAGAGTGGACAAAAGAGGAGGCGGGTGTCTAATATATGCTTCTAAATCCACTGACCCCAATACTTTTACAAACCTAATTATCGACAAACTCCCAGGATCTAAGTGGATAAGCATCCACACGAATGAAAATAAAATTCTCGTGGGATGTATATACAGAGCCCCCAGCAGCCCTGAAACAACTTTGGTGTGTACGGCATTGAACCTTATTCTTGATTCATATCCAAATTTGATAATAATTTAAAATAAGTGATACACTTGTATACTTTTGTCAGCATTTTCATCGTAACATCACAAGTGAATTGTACTCAATGTAGACTAATGATAATGATAGTTTGTATTTTCTTATCAACGGGTGTTTTCGAGAAATGCAAGCTATTTTTGCAGACACGATCAGTTATGTTGTAAGTTACAATCATGAAGTATTATAAATCAATACTTTTTTTATTGGTATAAAGGTATATTTCAAAACTGTAATCCAGGTTGCGTCGTGGGGGAAGGTAATGCGTAATTCACGAGGGAATTGTAAGATATGGGACCAATAATGTTTGCAGATCATTTGTCATTGTAAGTGGTCAAATATCCACATTCTTCATTCTCATTCAAAAAGTCAAATGGGAGCTAAAATGGTGAGAGACAAAAGAAGACAAACAACAGCAACGCAAAAGAAAGCAAGTGGAGTCCTCAAGGAGGGATTAATAGGTACATATACATTTATATTCTGTTAAGTAACTGTGGTTATTTTGGTGCACTAACTAACTAGTCCTGTTATGCTAACTTTTATATTGTGTGAACTAATATTATTGTCCTGTGTAAAAACGTCTATCATGTACTTCCAATAATATAAAAATTCATAATTGTAGTTTGTTGTAACTACACGTTTAATGAACTTAAAATATCTATGTTGGACGAAAAAGTGGGTGTAGGATTCAGATGCAGAAGTGCACTGTCATCTTTGAGCAGTCTGGTGACTGAGGAGATAAATACTGCGAGTGTGTTTGCATCGCGCACATCAGCTGGTAGCCTATTCCAAATGACTGAAAACTTATTTAAGAAGAAATTATACCGCATGTAAGTCTGACAATGCTCTATAGCAGCTAGGTTGTGGTGATTTCTAAGATTGTAACTGATGACAGCGGTAGGTTTAATTATTGGCTCGGAGGAGTGCACGAGCAGATTAGTTAGCTTATAGTAAAATATCAGGTTTAGCTTAAGACGTCTTTTCCAGAGTGGTTCTAATCTTAGTCTTTCGCAACGTTCATAGTATTCGAGACCACTTTCTAAACCAGGAGTTCTTAGAGTATGTTGCCGCTGCACTCCCTCTAATTAAGGCTTGTCCTACTGTTGCAGTCTGCTAAGAAAAAACGGACAGTATTCTAAAACAGGTCGGACACATACTTTATATAATAAAACCCTAGTTTCACAACAACAAAAGAGATTGCGAGTTATGCATCCTAGGAGCCTTCGTGTGTACGTCTGGCATAATCAGTTTGTTCAGAGAACGTTAAGTTACTAGAGTATCTGATACCGAGATCTACGATTGAGTTGAGCTTGGCTAGTTTTCGTCCATTTATTTCAAGATTCAGGTTAAGGTTATTGTTGCCAACACAAATCCAACCGCATTTGTCAATGTTGAACTTGAGACAGGATTCAGTACACCATGTTGCGAGGCCACTTAGTTCAAGATGTATTTTATTAACCATATCGCTTAATTCATGAGCGTAGCAGGAGTAAACGACTTTGAGTTCGTCAACATATAGGAATGGTTTACCTGAGGTGAATGCTGTTAATGTATACTGTAAATAAAAGTGGACCTAGGACACTACCTTGCACAACCCCACTTGAGATCTGCCTAGGATGAGACAATACAGATCCAACCTTGGTTATTTGTAACCTGTTGCTTTCTGGAGGCCGAATGGCATGTGTAGAACTGTAAAAATTACGAAAGGCTAAGTGATAACCGTTTCTGTTGCAATAGGGATTTAGTTATACGCCTTACCCGAGTCTATTTTCGAGAACATATTTGTTCCAGATAATGTTGCCGTGAAGTAGTGTATGCGAGGCAATTCAAAGAATGCAGAAGTTGTTTTGGCGTTTACTCACTGGTAAGCGCCAGTGGGTCACCATTCGTTGCTATCCTTATTCGTTAACATATACAGTGGGAATGCCTACGGGCTATTCGAAGGCCGAATGATGTCAAGGGTGGGGATATAGTCGAATTCATTTCTAGTGAGTCGTAGTTTGTCAGAGGCAAGTCGTCGTGCTTGGGATATCATGGTTGTTATGATGTCATAAAGAAGATTACCAGTTATGCACGGTACATCCTTAGACGGGCAATTGGTTTCCGGTTACTTGTCAACAGTCAGCTATAAAAATGGATAGTACCGTCTGTCAGTCGTTTTCGGAGGACATCTACGAGGAGACCATGATGGTTGAGTAGGTCTGTGCCAGTGATAGGCATTGTGACGTCAACAGGAATGAAGATGCACTGAATAAGTTAAGCGTTCGGACAGAGTTATTTCCTACCGAAGCTTACAACACGTTATCCGTTCACAGGCTTTGAGTCGAAAGTAAATTTTTTCTGTCGATCTGCTCCTGTAGCAGGAGGAACGCTGACTTTGGCATCTGCGTCAACCAGGAACCGGCTCTGGCCGACTACGCCACGGATGTACAGTAGGCGGCCATTAACACCAACAATGATTGTCACTGACACGTGCCGGTGAGATAATTCCTCATAGTCTTAGATACTTTGCCAAAATTACAGTTTTCGGCAACATTTCGCTTCCTGAGCACAGGTGTTGTGATACCAGCACCAATCGTGGTTTTCCAGTGAACGTGGTTTTAATACTGACCGACCACGTAGGTTTCGTCGTTGAGGAGAATTCTGCCGATGGAAGGAGGAAATACAGGGACTGATTGACCTAAGTGGTTGCGTGATGAAGTTGCATCACTCTATCACTGCATCGTTCCTACTCGAAATCTGCTCAACAACTGAGCAGATATCAGTGACTGGCAGTTGCGTTATTTCTAAAATTCTATCAGTTGAAATAGCTAAGTCGTTTATAATGACACTCTAAAGTGTCACCAGAACAGACTGTGTAAAAACAGAAGACAAGGGCCAGGCAACAGATCAGTTTTATTACGAAAACCAACAGGTATTTATATGTATTTTACGTACATTAATAAGGCTCTGCCCGCAGAAAGAAGGCGGTCTTCTGATTGGTTGATTGCAAACAAAACGCAGTCTTCTGCTTTCTCGTTTTCGATATTTCTCGGAAATGCGAGCCGCTTGTCTGCGAATCATATATGTCCACGTCTAGGTCAGCTGTGATCGGTTGTTGAATCAGCCTGGATTAATTTCAACCAATCAGCGTAGATCAATGTCTACCAATTGGCTAGCAGCTTGCTCTCACCACACTCGTCCCCCCGTCAAATAGTTTGGACTGAAGTCGGCTCGGTCTTCTCGGTTCTTGGTGCTTTGCTCTGTTGTCTTGCTGTCTGGAATCTCGGCGCTTGCGGATGTCCACTTGTTTAACGGTGTTTACCATTGCGATTGTGTCTGCGTAACCCCATCTCAACGTGACCATATATGGTCCTTCCCACTTTGGAAACTGTTTGCCTGACCCTGTCGCACATTCGTAGGTATTTCGCCTCACACTTCCATATGCTGCTTTCTCCCGACCTCCCAGCAGCGTCCCAAGTAGCAGCCTCATCGCTGACAGATCTTGAACGCTACTCAACTGCGAAGAAGCCTCGAAGTCCTGCGCGAAGATCCATATGTCTCCATCAAAAACTGCAGGGCATAGGCTTTCCATTTGTCGGTAGGCAGCGACACCAAATGTAACAACAGAAGACAAGGGCCAGGCAACAGATCACTTTTATTACGAAAACCAACAGGTATTTATATGTATTTTACAGTTCTCTGAAACGTCCCTCAGCGGAATGATGTTTTCCGATAAGCTTGTTCACAACTGACTGATCACCTAACTCGACATACTAAATAGTTCGACAAGACGCTGCCGATCCGTGAGGTCGTTTCTCTTTAAGAGGGTTGCTTTAAGCACCTAATAACCTACAGATAGTTGAAGCTCTATTTTCCACTAGGAACCCAAAGGAAGAATAATAATACCTCCAGGCTTGGCAAATGCACAGTTACACATTTGCTAAATTCCTGTGGTAGTGCGTAGACAAGTGCAAGGAACTGTGAACGTTGGTCAGTGATCGCATGCTGACCAAAATCACACTCGGCTCTTTGACACCATGATTCTACATTATTTGGCCAAAACTGAACGAGCCGAATACTTTTGCTAGTTAATGGAATACGGATGACCTTGAACGTGTGGTCAGTAAAGAAGAAATATGTATACATACTGTAAAATTAGTACCAGAACAAATACAAAATGTAGCGAACTCACCGGATTTGTCAACTTACTTACCACAGATGAAGACCGCTGTAGGGCTCACCAGTTTAGAGGTTGAGGAAGTTGATGTTCACGGATAATACGAAGTATACTAAAGCAATGTGTGACACTCACAACTTCTACAGTATTCGTCCGGCATGGACCAAAGGCAAAGAGAAACAGCAGAATTTATCGGTCGAATTGTGAATTATACTTCGGGACCAAATTGGAGTGTGAGATGATTGCTTGACGAACGAATTTAACATGACTTCTTGCCAAATCGCTTAGATACTTGACCACAAGTCTTTAGCTAAACAAGGTGGCTTAAACGGTGACAGTCAGCAGCCAATGTTCAGTGATGAATGCTGAGGCTACCACTGACCCGTGAACTTTGCACTGGGAGTGAATGTTTCACGCTCTTGTTTAATTTCGGCTTTCGTTTTGTTATACGCTCTAAACGTCTCTAGGTTAATCTTTAATCAGTTTATTCTGGTCGAAGTTGATTTATTTTTCAGTTTTGAGTCTATTTAATTATGGGAAATTGTGTTCTCATAACTGAATAGTTGCATATGTATATAGATGCATTTTCGTACACTCATTGGTGTTTCTACCACTCATTTATAAAGGTCACAAAATATGAGGTCACATCTGCATATTTTGGCTTTATTCACTCCGTTAAGCACGATTGTTGTGGACAATATCTCTGGGTAATCACTTACTGCTGAAATACTGTGTGCGTGAACAACTATCTCACGTTTATACGACAAGAAAGATGTCAAGTAAAATACCTTCCATGTTTTTGACTTCTATAAAATTTTTATGAGATATCACGATCTTGATGAACTCTGGTTTACTACTTTTTACTCCGGTAAACCTCTTCATACTTATAAGATAATTTCTCTGGGTCCATGTTATAATTATTTGTACTGGTAGTATTTCTCAATGATAAAATTACAGCTTATCAATCAACAACACGGAGAGGAGTGCATTCAAGAATTTGTGTTTGGCGGAATTGTTTGTAACTCATACATTTAAAATTGACAAACAACAGTAAGTGTTTAAAAAAGTCAGTCATAGAAATTGCCAGTCACCGCTTCCGCAACTTGTCGAATGTCTCTTTGCGTATTTACAATGAGGTCTCGGTTTGCTTGCAAGTCTCTGTGATCTTCTAAATTATTCTCTGATATTACTTTCACCAGTAGCATCTGGACCTATTTTTTAGTTATCTACAGAATCAGGAATAGTAGCGAAATCATTAAAACTATAGTCCGAACAACCTATTTCATTTATCCTCACTTGATCCAGGTGTCTGTTGAGAAGTGAATGATATTCGATCTTGAATATCTTCACAATTCTATCCCTCATTTTCGAAGTGTGATTCTTACTGAAGGTCTATAGTCATTCCCTGTATAGTAATGTACAACAGAAGTCGTGGACAATAGATGCGTTTGGAGAATTCGAGATTTTTCTGCCAACCTGTTGGACTGATAATGACATCGTGCTGTGTACAGATGACAACTGCCTAAATGTTTAAGCGAATCATTGAAGTTCTTCTCAGTGAAATGAGTACCATTATCAGTAACTAAGACCGAAATCCCCCTTAAAGCTCTGTCAGTGAATTTCAAGTTAGGGACTATCTGTAATTATGACTTCTGGCCGTTGAGAATAAGAATCCACAATAACCAAACCATAGTATGAATTTGAGAATGGACCATAGTAACCTGCATGAATACGCTGACAAACCTCACAAGACGTAGGCCATGGTCTCCACGATGATCTCCCATAGGACATTTTATGCAAACAACTGGAACAGCTCTTTGATCTTTTGTTAATGTCTGCATCGATTTCCAGCCACCAGCATGTTAGACGTGCTAATGATTTCATCTTATCAGTTCCCAGATGAACAGAATGAAGATCATCCAAAATCGCAGGTCTTAATGTCGGAGGAATAATAATTCTGCCATTCAGACATAGGAATCCTTCAGGATAGACTGAAATCTCATCTCTTCGCCAATAAAACTCCGGGAATCTTCGCTTACACTGAATATTCCAACCTCTCTTTGTTGCATTCCTAATGCTCCCGTAATATTTCCGAGTATCGTTTCTAGGTCGAACTCTGTCTACAGGTAACGGCTGAACTGACAACCAATGCTTGTATAAGCGTCTTATTGCCCATACAAATGCTACAGCCTCTTCCTGGGTCTCCGAGTACCATTTTTCACTCTCACCTGAACGTCGTCAAACACAAATAAGAGATTGTCCATTTTGCTCAAGTACTGCAGCTATACCCGTAGGAGAAGCATCTATAGTGAGAATGGACTTATCTTTCGATGAAAAAGGTCTTAAGAAAGCTTGTTTATTAAGAAGCTCCAAAGTTGTTTGCAAGATATCCTCATGTTGTTGTTCCCACTTAAATTGTTTACTGGAGACAATATCAAAAAGTGGAGATAACAGTGGAGTGAAATTGGGAATGAATCTGGAGTAAAACTGAAGAGCACCAATCCATGATATCAACGACGACATATTATAAGGTGACGGTGCTTAAATTAGAGGTGCCAAATGACTAGCATTAGGTCTGAAACCCTCGTAGTCTGCTGTGTATCCTATGCATGATACAGACGACAAAGTAAAATGACATTCAGACGGATTAACGAGGTTATTTTTTCACGAAAACACCTGAACAGTTTTAAAAGACGTCCATAATGCAACTCGATGAACGGTTCATGAACCACAATGTCGTTTTGGTAAGACTCAACACCATCTGATCCAATTATCATCTAATTAATTATTTTTTGAATAACTGCAGGTGAAAGCTTCAAACCGAAATGCCAGAACTTATACTTGAACAGTCCAAACAGAGTATTAATGGTTGTTAATGCACTGGATGCTTCATCAAGAGGAACCTGCAAGTAAGCATTTTTAAAATATATTCTCGAAAAGTATTTTTAGCCGTGTAACATGTAGAGAATTCTTCAGTTTCTAGCCTAATGCAACTTTGCTGTAGTAGACGACCATCGGATGTAGGGCGGTAGTCAGCATAAATTCTCAGTGTTATCCCATCGGAGGCGTCACAGTGGGAGCAGCCCAATTCGAAGATTCAACTGGCATAAGTATGCTGTGCTCAAACAACTTGTCTATCACCTTCCTAGCTGCATCTCGTCAACCGTATGGAACTAATCAGAGCTTTAGGAAGACAGGACCACTCTCCATTTCAAGATGGATGGGCTGAATCTTCATGCCACCTACACACTTTCAACATTGGAAAACTAGTTCTCAGAACCTGAGTCCTTTCAATCCTGTATTCACTAACAAGAAAGGGGATTTTCACAAAACTACCACTGTCTGATTTCAAACCAACGTGAGTATTACCAATAAGAAGTAGTTTATGACCAGTAATACCTGCAATGGAACTAACAGTAGGGTCTACTTGGGCATGCTAGCAAAGCGATAGTAAATCTTTCTTAAGAATTTTAGATTCAGTACTTTCAGTATCAGTTATAAAACAGTCAGACTTGACTGAACTTGTAGTGAAGGTGCTGATCAGTTGAGATTCAGTGTTGTGAAACGTTGAAAAAGACGTCAACTGTATTTCATCAAACAAATTTGGAAAATCATTGGAATTCTGGGTAGTGTATTTCAGAACGTATTGTTCTATGCACTCTTCTCTTGATACTTTGTGTCAACGAAATGTGTTATTGTTTTTTCAGTGATATTCTTTCCAGTTTCCAGATCAACCGAAGATTATTCATCCATTCCACTACAATAGTTAGGCTTATTCTCGCAACTCGCTGAATCAACTGAATAGTCTTCCAACCTTCAGCTGAAATTCAATTTAACTAAGTGCGGATAGATAAATTTGACTCCATTTTCGCTTAGTACATATGTACCTCACAATCTACGAGTTATCTTATCTTAGAATAATCTCCGATTTATCGACGAGACTGTAAGGTAACCATTGAACAGCCTAGAGAACGAAACAACTATAAATGTGTAAAACTGCCAACTACTGATTGATCCAGGCGAGTGAGTAGCTGTAAACCACTCATATCAACCAGTGTTGCATGCTTGCCAGACAGATCGAGGTGATCTAAATACAGGACGGACGTTTCACTCACTTGGGTATCACCAGTTAGCCTAAGTAGGTAGCCAGGACTCTGGTAGTTTGAAATGATTTGACTCTCTCTGTGTTGAGTCGATCTGGATACACCGCTGATGAACTCGGCCCTCAAAGGGATCAGAACCGACGCCAGGTGTTCATTTCATTTATATCTGGCTAATAAGCACCACTGGCTGACCTGAATGGCATACAGCCACTCGTCTCGATCAATCGATAACATGCGGTTTGGTGCAGATATGCCTGCTTTCTTGATTACGATTCATGGCATCAAGCAGATTACATATGGGGATCTGAATACTTTAGTTTCTCAAGGAAACTCTGGTGAGACTTCACCTCTTCGAACTGTGTGAATTGCGAATTTCTAATTATATTACAAATTGTCAGTTTGACACAACTACAGAATCTGATTGTGTATAGCAGGAAATACAGGGAACAAAGGGCCCAGAATCAATGATCAGTCAATTAATATGAGCACTGAACACAGTTCAGAATCACATGTTAATCCGACTTTTGGTTAACGAAAAAACACAATAGGCCCATGTCAATTCTTCACTTAAAGGCGCCCATCTAATCCCTTCCTTAAGAAGAAGATCGATGGCCTGGACATCTTTTCCTCTAAGGGTGATTTGGTGGTGGGTGGTGGAGCTAACGACTCGACGAGAGTATCAGTGATTCACAACCGCATACGTCCTCACTGACTTTTCAATTCCCCTGAAGCTATGCCTTCTGAAAATTGAATAAAGGTGACACTATTGTCATCAAATGCCGAATGAAGCAACAACAGTAGATAAAAATGGATCGAGAGCATATCAGCGACAACAATACAAAGTGTCAATATAAAGCATCTGCATCGTTTGTACAGAAGTATGAGAGGATGATTCATTTAGGTCACAGAATTTATTGGCGCATTTGTTATTGCAAGTGGATTGTGGAGAGACTGATAGAAGAGCTTGTTCCATGTTTTCAGGGCATATGTGAGGAAACTTGTGTTTAAGGAGAGGGCGCTTCATGGATTCGCACCATTACCACAATGACTTCCTCTTCCATTAACTTATTCATTTTGCCGTAGATGTCATGATTGCTAAGATTCACTGAGGCAGATGTGACAGAAGTCCTTGACCGCGCCTCTGCATTCAAAGTATGTGGGTGCGTAATCAATCTCTCAATATTTTGCTAACTGGAGTCACGAAGGGTAAATTAAGAATAAAAAATAGTAGAGAATACACAGTATTCCACAGAATATTTAATACTGGCTCTTCGGTTGAGAAAGTTTCTTCGTTGGACTAATGTAAATCAGTGATGTCCATATCACTTAAGCAAAAGTCTATATTATTGTTAATATCGATTCCATCCTTCACTAGTAGAATACACGGCTTCACCACAATGTCTCCATTCGTCTCAGCTCTAAAGTTTCGCTTTTCACTGCCTCCATAACTGCCCATGATCTTTCATTTACCTTTTACATCATTTTCTCAATATCACTCTAAGACCCAAGTTCAACAAGTTGCTTTTCGTTTGAGTTACGCTCGAAAGCCCAGTTCGCCTGAATGCCTCCTCTACGCATGTGTCCAATTCTGCTTCATTGGCTTATGTGTAAATGTTAGCCTATTGGTCATTGGTGGATTCATTAGCAGAGTTCCTTGCTGTTCATCGTTTCTAGCCATTTGATCTTCTTATACCTTTTTAATGTCCAGTTCAACTTCACTGAAATCAACTTCGACTCTACTACTAATGCTGCGGACGTTTAACTAATTTGCTGATTTTCATTCTCCATGATCTTTAAGAAATTGTGTTAGTATAAGTCATTCTATAAACAATTAAATTTGTGACCATACTTTTCAATATTTTACATAAATACACATTTTATAATACACTACTACTTTTTGTGTAGAAATGACTTTACTCAGTCCATAACTATTTTTCCTCATACACTTTTCTAAAATGTATAGTTTTATATCATTCCGCAGTATTTTTTACAGAACCTAAGTCGAAGGGTTACTTTGCAATGCCTGACGCATACCATTTGAAAATTGGTCATGAAAATTTAGCATCCAATATCGTTTTTACGAGCTTGTATAAACCAATTTGATTTCTTGGTGTTTGCCTCTTGATTGTGAGGTAGAGGTTCCTGATCTTCGGTAAACGTCTGCGTAGCTCGTCCCGCCACTCGACTGTCGTAGCTTCGGTTGACTCCAAAAGGAGTAGTGCAGGGATTAATTATATGCGGTTTGTAGTATGAGGTGTGTTAAGACTGTTACTACTGTGATCCTTTCACCAGTTGGTCCCTCGGTATCGTCGTCAATAGAAAAGAGATAATAATAATGATAATGATAATAATAGATATAATTGGTGAAGATATTCAGACTAACAGACAGAAAAAGAATAAGAAAACGTAACAACAGTCAGTCAACCGGTATATATATATATATATATACCAGTAATAATGACAATAATAATAATAGGTGTAGTTAAAGCTGTCAGGAGAGTAAGACTGAAGAGAATGTAAAGAAGTAAAACGACCAGTTTAATTGTCCACCTTTGAATGGTGTATGCGATTTTAAGGGGATAGGCCATTTGGATGAAGTCCTTGTGTCGCTGCATGGTTGTCCAGCCTTCGCTTGAAGGCGTCCACAGATGGTGCCATAGCTACATCTGCCAGCAAGGAATTCCAGGGACAGCAAATCCGCGCACCCAGATTTTCGCCCTCTAATGAGCTATCCTTCTAGGATTTCCACGAGGGAGCCTATACCTACTCAATGGCAGAACACCTTTGTTTGGCTGATTCTGATCATTTGTTATTTTATAGGCAGTAATTAAATCCCCCCTCAGACGATGGTAACTAAGTGTGAATAGGCCTAATTTCTTCAGCCTTTCATCATATGGTTTATTTCGAAGACCAACCACTCCTTTTGTTGCCCGTCGTTGGACTCTTTCCAAGAGGTTGGCGTCTCTTCTAAGAAGTGGGGGTGCAATGATATTATGCACTTGAAGGTGCGGTCTGATGTATGTTTTATACAACCTTAGAAAGAGCTCAGGGGTGAGTGCACCTAATTGTCTATGTGTAAAGTGTATGACCGCATATGCCCTCGCTACATCCCCCGTGTAATTTACGCTTGTGTCCATTTTCTCCGTTAGAACTAGACCTAAGACACGTTCCGACGTTGAGCAGGACAAGCTTTCATTGCACAGGGTGTAACTTGCATTCTGCAGTCTACAGGTGCGTAACTTCACTACTTTGCACTTTTTCAGGTTGAAAGTCATGCCACTGGCCACCGCCAAGTCTTCCAGAAACCTTAGATCTGCCTGCAGTCTATCTGAGTCCTCCGGATATTTTATCGCCCTCCATATCTTTACGTCATCAGCGTATAGAAGAGTCGGGCAGCTTAGACGGCATGGTAAATCACTGATAAAAATCAAGAACATCAGTGGTCCCAGGATAGAACCCTGCGACACTCCTGATGACGAGCTGTGCCAAGATGATCGGACTCGATTGACCTTGGTGCAAAATTGCCTTTCAGTTAGGTAGTCCTTCAACCATGACAGAAGTGGTTTACCGAAACCTACCTGGCTTAGTTTGTGTAGGAGAAAGTCTTGGTGAACAGTGTCAAATGCCTTCTCAAAGTCTAGAAAGATCACATGGACTGGAACATTCATAACGCAGCATGATGTCCAGTCGTCCCAAGCTGATAATAAGTTGGTGACGCAGGATCTTCCTTTCCTGAAACCGTGTTGGGCTTCATGGAGTATTTTAGACCTATCGAGATATTCCCTGATGTGATCATCAATAATACA